AGAGAGAGAGAGAGAGAGAGAGAAGAAAGGAAGGAAGGAAGGAAGGAAGGAAGGAAGGAAGAAAATTTAAAAAAAATGTTGGGCCAATAAAGACACTCAATATTCACTAACTAGATGTATTCCAAGGTAGGAGGCTGCCATTTATTAATTCCCAAGAGTCAGAAAATATTAAAAAGTAAGAGAAGAAAGAGTACCCTGAAGGAGAGACATCTGACTCTCATCAACGAACTACTGATGATTCTTATAATATTGCTAGAAGCTGGACTATTCCTTATCTCCCTTAGAACTCTCTCAGAATCATCTGAGATTTAGGTCTATAGGAATGATATGTCTCAGTGCAGAACTTCTTACAATAATAGGCTCATGTACTGCTCTGTTCAACAATGCTTCCCCTGGTGGTCCTACCTGGGCTTTATCACATTCACTCCTTCTGAGAGGGAAAAATGGTGGCTTCCAGGGAGGAATGTAAGGGTAAGGTAGATATAATTTTCACTACCTCCTTTTGCCCAAAATCCAAGACAACAGAACATGGTTCTGCTTGACTTATATGAACATTTTTTTCAGTCATCAAAAAGTGGTAGCAGCCATACAGGAGGATACTGATCTCCAGTTTTTAGTCATTCTAGTAACATTTCTACATCTGTGTGCATGTAGACCCCTTAATACAGTAGCTAAATGTTACATTTTGAAAGTTGATCATTTTCCTCTTTAAAATAAATATTATATCTTTAATGATGTGTAAATATCTGTGTACCTGAGTTTGTGTTTTTAAGATTGAGAGTAGTGCCCAAAGAGCTCTAAAGAGAATTTTGCATCTCCTAGAGACAGAGTTAAAGGCATTTTTGAACCACAAGCTGTGTGATCTGGGCACCTCACTTGAGTCCTCTGCAAGAACAGTATGTACTTCCATATCTGAACCATCTTTCTAGCACTCTAGACTTCTTTTATCTTAATCTCTTCTTAAACAATAATGTTGACCTTCCATGTGCTGACCGTGTTTTATATGACTGGTATTAAAATAAATGATCGCTTTTATAGTGAAATGATAGTTTTCATACTATCTAAATTCAAGTTGAAGACTGATAATGATGACCATACCATTCTTGAAATAAGATATTAGGCAGATGGTTCAGAAAATGGCAAGCTTGTAGGTCCTGTGCTAGCTGGATGTGAATGAAAATCATATTGATGTCTGAAGCTAGTCAGAATATTAAGACTTGATTACCATAAGGTTATATATGCTTAATATTCTTAAGATATCCTTAATAAAGATGTAATTATCTCTACATATGAATGTGTATAATTTATATAATTATTTATGTACAGTAATTGAACAAATCTGAATTAAAAAACATATCCAGGAATAATCTACTTATTCTTAGGCATATAATATTTCCACAAGGTTGTCTTTGATGTCTGATGCTCTCTGAAATAGTCTAGGATGCTTGATAAAGGTAATAAAAGTTCCCTGACCCCATAATGATATATTCTTTTCTCCTCCTTGTACAAAATATCTGAGCTTAATGATACCAGTGAATTCTCAGTTATAATAAGAACTGATCTTGCTATACACTGTGTGAGTTTTCCTTTTATGTCATTTTATATAACAAGAGGCATGAGCTATGGGGAATTTAAGCACATGGTTGCTCATAAGCCTCAAGTTTATATTTAGTTTGACTGTGTTTGTTATTTGTCTTTCCCATGCACATGGCTTAGTGGCCTTGAAAGACTCAATTAAACTGAGGCCTGATTGAGCTCAAGTAAATATATTGAACTTTGCATTGGCAGGATCAAGAGGAACCAGACATTGAAGTTTCTTTTCCTATATTAAGGCATTGGATTTTTCTTTAGCTTCTCTAACTACTTTCTTGGTTAATGTGCTAGTCATTACTGGGAAGAAATGGTCTCTTTTAACATCTCTAATGCCCATGGGTTATACTAAATTAAATTAATGTCATTCAAAAAATTCTAGTAAGGCATATATGATGTAAACAAATGGAACAGCCAAAATACAAAGGGAAAGTAACACTTCACAAGCTAAGAATCACTGGTATAAGGTGAAGAGGATATTCTCAGTTCAGTCTGGTGTTTAGTGTAAATAAGACACATTAAGTAGCCTCACAAACCCTGTTGAAGCCACAGCAAACAGAGAAGGTCATGTGGGCAATACAGGGCTTGCATGGGATGGGCCAAAATGAGGAAGTCCTCTGTATACTGTTTTTAGGGCTTGAGGAGTCAGAACAAGAGCAGGGTTTGGAGGATGTTAACAGGTGTGAGACTGAGACAGCCAAAATACCATACCATGTGCATGCAGACAGGGTGAACACATATGTACACCTATTAGGGATAACAGATGCTAGGTTTCTCAGCACTGCCTCAGAAAACTGCAGACAAGGAAAGGGAGAAGGTCAGAACTAGAATGAGCTGAAAATATTAGTAAACTCCCAGCTTTTCACTATCAATGTGTGCAGTTGTCTGTATACTGCATATGCTCCTTACTTTAATTACTCTAATGCCTGGCAACAGTGATATACCCCAAATGCATATCTAGAACCCACACCCTGTTTCCTACACATCCATACTCTTATAAAAAAAAGGGGGGGATTTTTTTTGTGTGTGTATCATAAAGCAATGGAGTCTCCAAAGAATAAGGGGATCCTGACAAGAAGAAGGAATTAAGAACAGAAATGTTGCCAAGTATTGGCGTCACCTGCCTTTAATTCTAGGACTTGGGATGTAGAAGCAGAGAGATCTCTGTGAGATGAAGGCCAGCATGACCTACAGAGCTAGTTCTAGAGAAGCTATATATATAAAATCAGTGCCAACAATACCTCACTGGAAGCACTTGCGGTATTTTGACTTACCCTTTACATGTGATCTTTTATTATTTATCACTGCATTCACCTATTCAGCTACTAAGAAGCTGAATTAACCACCCACCCCTGTAAAGCATTGTGATAGAGTTGGAGAACACTGGCATTCCTGCTACTGAAGAGTAGACATCTTGGCTGATGGTGGTCTGACTAGTCTGAATATTTGGCAGAGGGTTGAAAATAATTATTTCAGCCTTTATCTGCATCCACATTTCAAGGGAAACCAGAAGATGACATTATTTAGGTGCCTAAAAGCAATTGCATTTAAAATTTCACAAAGTGTGTGTGCACTGTTCCCCCCCACCATCAGCATTCAAGAAGAATAACATTATTCACTAGTGATTTTTAAACGAACTAAGGTAGCCTACTTCAAAATAGTCTGTTTTCCTCCTCTGTTCCTGGTGTTTGAGCAGAGCCTGGCAAGTGGGAATGTGTTTAGTAGATACTTTTTAATTTATCTTGGGTGTTTCACCAAGAGCTGATGTTTGCAGCCTATACATCTTCAAGGCTTCAGATGCCTCCATAGTCTATGAATCACCCTACCTTCAACACCCTGGTTAACCTTTCTGTATACCGCAAACTCACTCAGGTACCATGAGGGGAAATAAGATCAGAGAGGATCACCATGTCATTTTTCAGTGACTATCTGAGTATGTTTCTTTTAAAAAAAAAAATATGTATTTAACACCAGAAGAGGGCATCAATCAGATCCCATTACCGATGGTTGTGAGCTACCATGTGGTTGCTGGAAATTGAACTCAGGACCTCTGGAAGAGCAATCAGTGCTCTTAACCACTGAGCCATCTCTCCAGCAGGAGCAAATATGGAGACAAAGTGTGGGACAGAAACTGAAGGAGGGACCGTCTGGAGATTTTTCCACCTGGATATCCATCCCATGTACAGTCACCAAAGGTAGATGCTGTTGTGAATGCCAGGAAGTGCATGCTGACAGGAGCCTAGTATATCTGTCTCCTTAGAAGTCTTCCAGAGCCTGACATATACAGAGGCAGATGCTCACAGCTAATCATTGAACTGATCAATGGGTTCCCAATGGAGGAGTTAGAGAGAAGACTGAAGGAGCTGAAAGGGTTCACAGCCCTATAGGGAGAGCAATAATACCAAGCAACCAGAGCTCCCAGGGTCTAAACCTCCAGCCTGGGAGCACATAGGGAGGGACCCATGGCTCCAGCTTTATATGTAGGGAAGGATGGCCTTGTTGGGCACAGGTGGGAGAGGAGATCCTTGGTCCCATGAAGGCTGGATGCCCCAGTGTGGGGGAACTCGAGGGTGGGGAGGTGGGAGTGGGTGGGTGGAGGCACATCCTCATAGAAACAGGAGGAGGGGGATGGGATAGGGGGATCCTGGGTGAGGGGGAATGGGTTAAGGGGATAACATCTGAAATGTAAATAAAAACCCCAATTTTTAAAAAGAAAAAAAAAAACAGAGAGGAGTGTAATGTGCTCGTTTATCCTCTAGGGAGAGCTGTGACCTCATGTTAACTCTTGAGGCTGATAATGGGTTAGGTGAGAAGGGCAGATGGAAAGGGAGTTGGGCAGGAAGTAGAACATAGGACTTTGCTCCTTTTTCTGTTTGGGAAATGGTGTGGATGGAGCTTAGAGACACTAGGATATCCAGAACATATAGGGTATTGTTCCTGAGTGTCCCTGGGCTAGATCTCTTTGAGCTAGATGTTCTTTCTCTGTTCTCCTGTAGCTTCCTCTCCTTGTTTCCTTTCTATATGTAAGGCTAGTCATCTAGGAGGTGGTATGTTCCCAGTGTGTGTGTGCGGGGGTGGGGGTGGGGAATTGGAGGAGGTGGGGGAGACAGGGTTATAGCATATTCCTCTTCTGCCTCTCTCAGCACTCACTGAGGTGCTTCTTCTATAGTTATCATTAAATTATTGTGCCTTGACATGATGTACAGGTTGCTTCAGAAAAGTCTCTGATGCACAATGAGGCTGCCTTTCTTAGGATGAAGGAGAGAAAGCCTGGGTATGCCTAATCTGAATCCATGAGAGGAAGCAGGAAGGGTGTCTATCCAAGGGAAGTGAATCTGTCAGGGGAGGAGACGTAATACAAAGTAGAAAGAAGAAAGAGTACCACTTGCGGGTACAAGAAACTGTCTCAGGAGCCCCAGGAGGCAGCTAGGCATGGTGTGTCTGGAAGCCTACGCCCTGACAAGTATAAAGGGCTAAGAGGAAGTGTGAGCTGAAACCATCTACGCAACAGGGAGCATCCAAGCAATCCTTTTTACAGGGTCAGCAAAAGGCACCCACATAGCCAGGATCTAAAGAGAAAAACAGATTCCATGCTGTCTTTCTGCCATGGGCTCCACGCTCTTCAGTTACCTGGCCTTTTCTCTCCTGGTGGCAGGTGAGTCCTAGTCTTGGTCCGTACAGCTTTGTATTTTACATAGAACATCCATCTACAATTAAACTTGTTTTCTTATTCCCACAGGTCCAGTGGACCCTAAAATTATCCAGAAACCAAAACATCTGGTGGCAGTCACGGGGAGCGAAAGAACCCTGATATGCGAACAGTATCTAGGCCACAATGCTATGTATTGGTATAGGCAAAGTGCTAAGAAGTCCATAGAGCTCATGTTTTCCTATAACTATCAAAACCTTGCTGACAATCAGACTGTCCCAAGTCGTTTCCAACCTCACAATTCACAGAAATCCTACTTAGACCTTCAGATCACAGCCCTACAGCCTGACGACGCGGCTACATACTTCTGTGCCAGTAGCCAAGACACAGCCCTTTAGAGCTCTTGCCTCCCTGTACATAAACCTCCTATCCAGGAAACTGCTGATAATAACTGGTCCACCTGAGTCTGGAGACTTTGTTCAGTAGTCCACAGTACTGAAGTGAAAACCTCAGACCACAATGCCACCTGCTAATTTTGATGTCATGATGCCAAATTATGAGTCTGCAAAGCAGTAGCTTTGACTTGAGTAGAACGTTGTCTACAGTTAAATATGGGACTGACAAGCTCGAGTTTAAGTTGTTTCAAGGGTTTGTAGTCCTGAGCAATCTTTTATGGACCACTTAATTGTTCTTACCAATCCTCTTCCAATAGGTATTCTTATAGGACTTCTCTTTTCAGGAAGAGCCTGTACCTCTGTCCTCATTACAGCTCCAAATATGCTCACACTTTTTCTGAGAAATCCCCGCTCTCACCAAGTGGCTCTTTAAGTTCCTATATCCCAGGATAATCCTTCCTTATTTGATCTTTGCCATTGGTTAATTTACTCTCTTTGCTTATGGTCAGGTTCTTGACTCTTGCTTTTCTTTCCCATTGAAGTTTTTAACAAGGTTTTCGTGCTTGACTCTTTCGTTCCACCCCTTAATCTTCATGCTGACTCTTTGTACTCTGTTGTTAGTTGTAGAGTCTGATGCTTTTGAGTTGTTGCTCACCACAGTAACAAAGAGGAAATCTCCTGACGTTTCTCAGGAAGACTTAATTCTTACAACATCCTTTGCTGAACTCTGACTTCCCTCTGACTACTCCTAGCAATGGCCCTCTGTCTTGTGCACACCATCAGATCTATCTCATAGGCAGAACAGAATCCTGAACCCTCGGATGTTTGTTGTATGCTTGCTGTTCGGGTTTCTTTTCTCCCATAGAGAGTAGTCTGCAGAGGGTAACTCTTGCCACTAACCAATAACCCTGTCAGACCTTGCCTATGACACCATGAGAACTTAGCATGCCCCTCCTCTCTTTCTTATGTGCAGTCACTCAAGCTAGGTAAAACTACATTCTTGCTGTGACCCTACTATGGATATCTGGCTCCTGTGTTGGACAATTTTTAGTCTCCTGGAAGCAGGTAGGTTCTTAGAAATTCTAGACTTTTCATTTCATATTGAGACAATCTTTAAGTTTCCCATTAATGTTCTTTCTTTTTCCACAGGACACACAGGACCCAAAGTCCTACAGTTCCCAAGTCATCAAGTAATAGCTGTGAAACAGATGGTGACCCTCAGTTGTGACCCAGTTTCTGGTCACCTATATTTCTATTGGTATAAACAGATCTTAGGACAGCAGATGGAGTTTATGGTTTCTTTCTACAATGGTAAAGTCATGGAAAAGTCTAAACTATTTAAGGATCAGTTTTCAGTTGAAAGGACAGATGGTTCACATTTTACTCTGAAAATCCAACCCACAATGCTGGAAGACTCAGCTGTGTACTTCTGTGCTAGCAGCTCAGCCACAGCCTTGCAAAAACACCATCTTCCTGTACACAAACTCTCATGTGTCTGACTCTTTCCTAACACCATATATTCCCCAGGAGAAAGAAGTCTACATGACATTTTTTTAATTGCAGTTGTTTTTTGAACAGATAAATACCTGAAGTTAAATGGCTAAAATAGGATATTTCATAGAGGGAAGGTCAGAGGTCACGAACATACAGATTTTCTCTAGAAACCACAGAATGTGGTTGGTGAATAATCTTGACCAAATACTCTCTCATCAAGTAACTAAGTGCCTCATGTAGTCTATTTTTTCTCCATTTTAATTGCATTGTATTAGAAATCTTTTTATTTCTTTTATCGATAGTTGTTTAGATAAAGTTAATTCATAAGGTAGAAGTAGGGTCAGTGCTCTGTTGATCCTCACTCCTACTGACTCAGGGGCCACAAACGTAGTTCCTACCCTTGAATTTATCAGATCTGTTGGATAAAAAATTTTGGTTTATGAGAAGAAGGAGACGGAAATTGACACTACAACCACAATACATAATAAGCATTCTGTTAATTCTAAAATGAAACTATGTTTGTTGTTTTGGTTTTGTTTGTCGGTTGATTTTTGTTTGTTTAGTTTTACAGGGATGCTAGAATGTAAGCATGAAAAATTGAAATTATACAAATCGAGTTTCTAAAAATAGATACCATGTGGTCACCAATTTGCTCCTCATTATTGGAAACAAGGAAAAAGGTTGATGTGGATTTGAGTGAATTCAATCAAGTTTCTGTAATTGTGGTGATAGGTGGCGATTTGTTGAGTGAGTCAATCACAATAAAAGAAGTAGATGTACCAAAAGGTGTCAAAGCCATAAGGCAGCAATTCTCACCCCGTGGATCGCAACGGCTTTGGGAGCAGAATGGTCCTTTCACACGGGTTGCCTAAGACCATTGGAAAACACAGATATTTATGTTATGATTCATAATAGTAACAAGATTACAGTTATGAAGTAGCAACAAAAAAAAATTTTACTGTTGGAGGTCACTCACTACAACATGAGGAACTGTCACAGAATTAGGAATGTTGAGGTCTACTGCCATAAGGAGTAAAGATTGGACCATCCTACTGTACAAGAACAACCCACAGAAAAGCAGAGCCAGGCTAGAGGAGATCTAGAATGGGTGGTAGAGGTAGATGACAAGGGACACCAACTTGTTAAGAAACACTGGTTACATCAGCTCTGAAGTTTATTGCTATGAACCTCCTATGTTTGTCATTATTGCAGCTGACCACTACCTTAAAGGCCTGATTATTTAGATTTGATAAAAATATAAACTGTATCATTTAATGTCAGCTACATCTGTGATGATCAATTTCATGTAGACACAGACTTGCTCCATAGGAATGGTGCTTAGATATGGACATTATGTTCACAAGGAATTCTGCTGCTGTTAGGAGTTACAGTAGTGGCCTGGATGGTACTTATGCAGACAGAGTCCAAAAGTGTGGAACAGGAGGGTCAAAGGTTTTCTATTAATCTGTCTCTCTAGAAGATCTTAGATTTATGGCCAATCATCTACCTACACCAATGACCTAATTAACATGCTTTCATTTCTAGTTTTTTCTATCTCTCTAATTTTGATTGAGTAGTTTCACCTTATCTTTCCAACTTATCTATTCTTTAAGCTTTGTACAGTCTCTTTATAAACAAATATACTGAATGTATATATTAAACAATCAGTATAACTCAGTTCAGAATTTCTATTTAGACCATGACTATAGTTCCAAGTTGTCTGCTAAAATTCTCCATTATATTTGCTTTGTTCAAACATTGACTATTTAAAAACCAGTGTCTAGTAACTGTAATATCCAAATTTGGGGGGCCATTTTTTGTCTGTTGTCATATCTTGTTTTGTGATGATATTATCTTCATATGAATCCTGGATTACAAGAACAATTAGAGAGTACTTAGGGTTCTGAATGATTTCATCTTTCTCTCGACAGGACTGAGATTGTACCTGCTAGGAAGTTGTACAAGTGGCACATCATCTTCATCAAGCTGATGAAAGAATTAAATTGAAGCTGAACTTTGAGGAGTCCCAGGGATCACTGTTAAGTCCTGGTCTAAAGTGGGCAATGGTTTAAGGTTGAAACAGTGTTTGAGTATTTAGCAGCTTTATTGACAGGAAACTCATATAACATACTGTCGGGAGCAACCCTGTTTATACACTGAAGGCCTAAAATCAGCCATAGGCCTAAAATCAGCAATAGGCCTGACATTCATGCCTGCTAGCACCAAGTCTTGGGTCTCTGTGGAAAAACACTGAAACAGATGCCTAGAAGCTATTGTAAACAAACAGCTTTGGTGGAAGGCTGCCAAGCAGGGCTACTAATAGGCCTTGTAGATAGGTGACCTTGGTGGATAATACCAACTTAGATAAAGACAAGTGAATCATAGGCGGAATCATAGGTGGAGTCATAGTGTCCTGTCCCCTGAACCTTCACCCAGCTAACACTCTGTTCTGGAAGATATCTGTACTCCCCCTGAACAATCTGTATTCCCCCTGAACACCCACATTCCTGCGTCATCCCCTTGTCCACATCCTGCCTTTTTGTGTATATAACCTGTGTGTGTAAAAGTAAAGATGACGATCTGATCAGACTATAGACAGATCTTCCTTCCTTGAGTCTGCCAGTTCCCCACTTTCTCTTTCAGGTGATCTCCCAGGACCCCTGTTTAATGCTCTGCTAGACAGGACAACATACATAATGTTTATTCACATGCGCAATTCCCTGAGCTCTTCAGATCCATATAGCTGTGTCAGTGTCATCATGATCTAGCTTTAAAACATTTTCATTCTCTTCAAATTCCCCTGTGCTCCTTTTCAGCAGTCCTCTGCACTCTCTGCAAGCCCTGGGTCTGGAGCTGTCCCAGGGTCCTTTTGATCAGTAGCACTGAACTGAAGTGTTATTCTACACATCCAAGAGCTACTGGTAGCTTTTCAAAGTACCCCACTCTCTCTATCTTTCCTCCACCTTGTCCTCTTAGCAGATTCTGCTAAACTGGCAAATAGGATTAAGAGAAAATATCTTCAAGGGTTATATTTTTCTCTAAATTTTTGATCTTTTGTGTCCTTACTCCCTTTGCAGACAAATGCCTCCAAACATAAATCATTTCCAATAAACAAACTTGTTTTTCAGTTTACTTTGGGGTGAACATTGTAGTAATCTGATACAACTTTGAAGGCCAGGGTATGAGCATGTTGGATTTAGGGTGTGGAGGGGCTAAGCGAAATGGCCAAATGGCCAGTGCAGGCGTAGGCACTTCCCCAGAAGCCTAGCAGGCTGGTGCTCATCACAGCCACAGTACTTCCCCCTTCCCCCTCAGCCCCTCACACATAGAAATCCCCCTTCCTGCCACCTGACCCCTCCTGAAAAGACACCGCAGGCAGATGTCAAAGACCACAAATCCGTACTCTAATAACACCCACATCCTGGAAACCAAGATATCAGTTTGAATACAGATAAACAAAAACAGCCCAGCAGCCTCCATGTCGCCTGAAGCTG